GTATCCAGCAATGGGATTTATTTACGAAGCTATGGATAGGGCTTAAGAAAAACTTGCTCAAAATCTAAATAATGATGTTACAAAGTATCAGATTATTATGGAAATTTTGTGGATAGTCGGTGGGATCGTCAGCTTCACACGCATTTGTACGCTGTTGTATATTTTGTAAATCCTCATTTCCAATATGAACCTTCATTCTCTTCTCATCATGAGATTAAATTGGGACTTTATTTTTGCATGGAGCGATTGATTGGAGATTCATCTGAATCTCCAATCAATCGCTCCATGCAAAATGGAGGATTGATTGGAGATTCTGAGGATTTACAAAACATGCAACAGCGTACAAATGCGTGTGAAGCTGACGATCCCACCGGAAAAGAATCGATCTGCAAATCCACTTTCTCTCTTTCTTCTGATCAGAAGAAAGGGAGAAAGTGGATTTGCAGATTGATTCTTTTCAAAATGCACAAGGTTTATTTTTGGACTGGTAAATGCAGTAAGCACAAGGAAGAAGAGAAGTCCAGGTGTGTGTTTTTACTATTTTTAGTATGTTCGTAATAATATCTTTTATTTTATTTTTTTGATAAATCAGAGGATGGACCCGATATGGGATCACATCTCAACGATTTTTTTTTTTATCAATTTAATAAAATAACATTACTATTTTCAGCGGATTGGTGGAGAGTCTTTGGAGATCAAGCGCCTGAACTTGCAAAATTTGCCATTAGAATTTTGAGCTTGACTTATAGAGCTTCTGGATGTGAACAGAACTGGAGTTCCTTCAATCAAGTAATAATATAAAGTATTTTGGTTTCATATGTTTTTTGATTTTCATCTTACTGAGCTTTAGTATTTTAATGAACAGGTGCATACAAAAAGAAGAAATCGCTTGAAGCAAGCGAAACTCATTGATTTGGTTTACATTATTTTCAATTTGAAACTAAAATACAGGGATTTAAAGAAGAAAACAATTGAAAATCCCCTTTGTTTGGAAGATGTAGACTCTAGCGATAAATGGACTTAGAGTTCCAAGATCCTGAGGTAGAGGCTTATGAAGATTTTGATGCAAATATAGGTCTTAATGACCCTTTTGAAGTTGAAGAAGGTGAAGTATCTCAACATACAAAGAAGAGAAAGAAAAAAAACAAAGGTATAAGATATTATTTGATATTATATTTGAATAATTTGAAATTTCGGGCACTGAAGAAAGCGGATAGGTTTCGGTGGATAGGAGGAAACGTTTTAACTTAATAAAACTTTTCGGTAATGTGTTTGCTTTTTTTTGTTTGTTTTGTCTTTGCATTTGATTTTCAAAAATACATGCATACAGAGCCGTTCGTACAGCCGTATAACATGCATACAGGACCGTTCCGAGTTAAATAGGGTTCTTTGATTTCTCATTTTAGGTTTCTCGCTCCCGATGGGTAATTTTTAAGAAAACCCCCTATATTTACAGCCCTAATCCTAAAATTGTGGTAACCAACCCTGAATTACTTTGTTAATCTTTATTAAAAATTTAAATTGCAATCATTTCAAATATTTTATTCACATATTTTGACTAAATCGACTTCTATTCAACTTAGTCAGTTTTAAGTCGACTTTGATCAACTTTTAGTCGACTTTGATCGACTTTAGAAAATATATTAGTCGATTAACCGCCTCAATACGCCTCACGCTTTTTTAAACCTTGATTATGACTATGGTTAAATAAGTATCCGTAAACAAACACATGCGCAGAATATCATTTTGTCTAATTTAACGTGACACCGACAATAATTTATTTTAAAAATCAATAATGGTTTCTGAGTCAACTTTTTGTTTGAAAAATTAACCAACTAACAAACTTTTAAAAATAGACATTTTGATAGTTATTTTGCTTAAAAATGCTATATAACGCTAATTTAGACATAGTTGTAAACTGGAATTTAAGATCCAATTAAAAGCTGTATTTCTAAGTAACTGTATTGATACTTAAGCTAATCGTCATGTTGTCTAGTTATAACCCTAATTTAGTGTTAGAGTTTATAATATTTGGCTATTTTTCAAAAAAAAAGACACATTTGCGGATGTTTTGGATCAAGTTTTGATAAATATTCGGATTTCTTTAAAAAGTTTTTTGGAGTTTTTAGAGCCAATATGACCGCCGTGTATATATTTTTATAATTTCATGGCCGGTTTACACTGATTTTTTTTTAGTTTCGAGTTTTTTTTGTTTATAACAAGTAAAAATTAATAGACGGGGGAAGGAGTAGAAGTTTAAAATGTTTGGGATTGGTAAGAAAATTTTTCAAAATTAAACAAATGTCTTCTTCCTGTGTATTAAGTACACAAGAGTACCTGCTTTACCTTGTAAAAACAAGTAAAAACAAAAAAATAGGGCATTTCTTTAAAATTACAAAAAAAAAAAATTAACCTTTCTGGGGAGCCAATTTTTTTCTATTTGCAAAAACAAAAACACAAACAAAAAAAAAAGTATTAGTAATAAATGTATTTTTAAATCCATTTTACTCAAAGTGGTCAAAAATTGTGTAACATTTTTTGAAAACGTAAGAAGTTATTAATTGTTTTTTAGATTGAATACAGAAACAAAAAACGATAATAATGATTTTTTAAATTCGATGCTTTTATGAATAAAAGAAGAATTCAAGTTTAAGGAGAGAAATCGCGTACATACCGTCTATAAAACCACTAGTTCCGCCCTACCCAGAGGCGCACAGAGGGTGGAGAATCCGGATCGGTTTCCCCTGGACATCACGTTTATGGAGCATCATCAGATGACAGAAAAAAAATTATCATTATGCCAAATAAAAAATTGGAAACATCCAATAATGAAGTGAAAACTGTTTACTTTGTTACCTTCATCCATCATTTCAGAGAGATTTCAAGCTCTGAAACAGCATGGTAGATTATTGTGTTTGTTTGGGGCATTATCAAAAATCTCAAAAGAATCACCTATAGTCAGATTTTTGCAAATAATAGATAAATTTAATTGTTTAAATATATGAGATTGTTTATCACTTTTAAGGTGCTCATTTATTCTAGTTGCCAAATGTCTGGAGGTTTCTCCAATATAATTGGCATTACAGCCAGCGCAAAAAAATTTATAGACAACATGAGATTTAAGCAGTTTAGGAAGTGACTCTTTTAAGCAAAAACAACCTTGTATTTTATTAGTAGTGAAAATTAATTTTATTAGAACATCCTTGCAATATTTATAAACAGTTTTTATTTTAGTACAATTAAAGTACATTCCAATGAACGGAAGCTTTCAAGTATCTTATATTTAAGCTATTAACAACCTTAGAAACAGATGGGTTCATTTTCTTATCAATATAGGATTTAATTTCAGAGTCAATAATTTTTTGTGGAAATTTATTCTTTTGTCAAACTAATGATAAATTCTTAATATCTTTATCAAAACCAACCCGTGTATTATTAATTTTAAATGTATGATCAATCAAACAACGAACAATTCCAAATTTGTAAAAGACCTGTATACGTTTGTGATAAACTGAAGTCGAAAACGAATTCGATTTTTTAATAAGTACATCTAAAAAAGGCAATCTGGTGATCTTGTTCTTTTTCCATAGTAAATTTCAAATTTTTATGTTGTTTATTGAAGTGTTTGAAAAATTCTTGAGCTTCATATTCAGATTTAAAAATAGCAATTATATCATCCACATACCGTTTATAAAATAATGGTGCTGTAAAGGAGCAGTTATTGACCCATGTTAGTTCATGAAATCCGACAAAATTATTAGCTAAGGTAGGCGCTAAAGGAGAGCTTATAGCAACATCATCCTTTTGATCGTAATATTTTCCGTCAAATAGAAAATGTGAAGCGGATGTGGAAATCTGAAGCAATTTTTTAAAGTGACAACTATTTTTTATATTTATTTCAGAGTTTTATTATTGTAAAATAATCTTTTGAAAATGTAAATAAATTTTACAAAACATGTCAAGAATAAAAAACATCGTGTTATTTTTAAAAATAATTACTTATTTTATTGTTATTAAGACGATCACAAAATTTATATTACTGTTTTTTTATTTGCTAATGTACTCTTTTTTTGGTTCATGTATAAAAATACATAAATAAACAAAAAACTATTATATAAATATTTTCATTTAGACAATAAAAAAAAAAGAAAAGAAAAAACGATTTATTTGCTATTCAATATAAAAAAAAAAAACATTTAGAACCTTGTCAAACCAACGCGACGATCTGTGGCTGAAGCCGAGAGATTTTTTAGCAAGTTAGTTCTCGTCAGGAACTCTCTAAAAGCTACCATGGCACAAGATTGTCTTAACGGCTGTCAGATCCTTTCAATTAAAACAGATTTAAAGAAGAAAGTTAATTACGATGTTGTAACTTTAAGCTGCTAGAAAAGCTCGTAAAGTCTTGGTAACTTTAGAAAAACTCGATACCAAATCCAGAAATTTTTTTTCTCTTTGTGTTTAATTGTTTTATTTGTGAACCGTCTTAAATACAGAATTTTAAAAATATTTTATGAATACTAGAAATAATAGCTTTTTATTATTATTATTTTTATTTTGGTGGTGGTAGTAGGGGTAGGGGGTATCCAGTAAATTTTTTTTATAATATACCCCGGGAATCATGAAGTCTCTGTGCGCCCCTGGCCCTACCCTACGCAATGGAGTTTTTTATTTTCTCTCTCAATTGCCATATTCTTTGATGAACCTTATTTTTAAATTTAAGTTACGAATTGTTTGTTGGGTATGTTGTTATATAGAACTTTTGTATAGATAAATCTTAATAGCATTTTAATGTCATTTAAATGCAAAAGATTTGCATCAAATTCGTATTTTAAATGTAAATCACAATGGTTAAAAATGTTACTACAACTTTTAACATAATTATAAACTATATTAACAAAAAATTCTTATAAGCCCTTCAAGGAATTTAGGAAAGCGCTACTCTCAATCATAAAAAGTGTAACTAAATAATAATTTTATTATTCTAAAAAAAAGTACTCGGGTTTAAAATTTTCCATTTTCATGTAATATCTTCCACTTTTCTACTTTTAAAACTATTACATTCTATAATTTATTTAATTGTCTCATTCAATAATTCTAATGTTAGAAAGAAAATATTTGAGATAACAATATATATTTAATTTTGATAAAAACCTAAAAAAAAATTACTACTTCTTTATTAAAAGAATATATCTGTTTTTATTTTCTGTTGCTATTTTTTATTTATATTTTAAAATATTTATTTTACTTAACTATTTAAAAAATAAAAACCTAATTATTCATTTTACTTACTACCATTACTAGATTTTTCTGAATATTTTAAAACAGTTTTTAATAGGCGCGAATAACGACTTAACACTATTTGATACGTTTCATCTGCAACTGTTGGCGAACAAACTAAAACATGATTGGAAATTACATGAACCTTTTTGACGCGAGCACAACGATATATGCAACCTAAACAAGCAGAGTTACTCTCCTCTTTTATCCTATAAACAGGAACACCAAAAACATCAGACAAAACTTGTAAGATGGAGGTATTATTTGATGCACCACCTGTTGCTATAATACGTGTTGTTGGGCCTTGCAAAATATAATGATAAATATAATATTAAAATTATAAAACATATGATAAATAAAAATTCAATGTTAAATTTTAAAAATACATTAGTTAAAATTATTAATAAAAAGCAAAAAATTATATAATGAACAAAGTACCAATTGCAAAACCATATTTCTCGGCATAATATCTTCTTATAAGAAACTGGCCCTCAAGAACTGCTCTTACTTCTTCTTCACTTGTAAAAAAATTCACTAACTCGTCTATATCATTCCATCTATAAACACCGAGCGCCTCAGGTAGTATCTCTAACTCATGAAAGTAGAGACCGATTTTATGGTTATTACCAGGTTTAGTTTTTCTCAACATCTCATTAAATGTACTCCAAGAACCACCACAATGTTGGTCACAAATTATCTGTCTTGATAACGAGCCGTTTTTAAAGCACAACATTGTCATAAACTCTTCATCTAAATGAACTAGTTTGTCATAGTCTCAACGCCTATTTCTGAATAAGCACAAAATCATAGCATTTTGAAAATTTACCTTGAAGTGGATTAACAAATACGCTTCCTTCTATATTTGGTTCAGCTTTATGCGTCCATAATAAAAGTGTGTCACTAGTTCCCAAACTACATGCTATATCTCCACTTGTTAAATTTAATCCAGCTAATGAAGATGGATTATCTCCTGTGAATGCAACAAGTCTGCAAGTGGGAGAGAAACCAAAACGCTTGACTAAATACATTGAAATATTTCCTATAACTGTTGACGATGAAACTGGTTCTCCGAGACGCATAGCTAAGCCTGGTGCACAAGCCTATTTTAATTTTTTAAATGTGAAAATTATAAATATAAATAAAAAATATTAAAAAATAAATAGTAAAATACATCAACAAAAATATAATCAAGTTTGCATAAACAAACAACAAAAAAGTATACAAAAAAAGTTTAAGATTTAATGTGTATAATAAAAAAAATTTTAAATAATAAAAAAAATTTAAGAAAATAAGGTATACTTTTTTAAAACCAAAAACTTTATATTGCATTTATAATAATGGTAAAAAAATTTTTTAATTTAAACAGAAGTAGACTTACAGTATGCAATTAAGTTAACCACTTACATTGAGTAAGCAATCATCCCATTTCTTTGATGCAATATTTAACAAATTCATACCCGAGCCATCACTATAATCAATAGGTGCATAACGACCAAGGAACAGAGAAGCCAAAAAGTTGCTAACTAGACATATTCTTTCACAGTTCAAATAAACATCTTCATTTGTTTGATACATTTTGGCTATTTGATTGCCTATAAACAGCATACATATACATACATACATACATATATTTATATATATATATATATATATATATATATATATATATATATATATATATATATATATATATATATATATATATATATATATATATATATATATATATATATATATATATATATATATATATATATATTAGGGTGGTGCTTAAAACAAATTTTTTGAGAAAAACCTGCTGGTACCCCCCTAAATGTGTTTTATCTAATACAAAAACACTAGGTTTAAAATTTTTTTGAACAAAAATTATTTTTAGGGGTAGCTCAAGGCCCTAAAAATTTGACAGGTCCCTATTATTTTGAAAAAAAAATTTTTCTAAAGTATGTCAACCTGGTACTCAAAAGAAGCGATATTATATAAAAACTTCAAAAATAATAATCATTTTACATAAAAAACATGCCTAAAAAAAATTATTCTCAAAAAACCTGAAAATATTGACTTTTTTTATTTTCAGCTTAAAAACAATAGTTTTTATGCATTTATACCTGAAAAAATTATTTTTATAAAAAATTATTTTCATTTTTAAATTTTTTATATAATTTTGCTTATTTTGAGTACCAGGTTGACATACTTTAGAAAAAGTTTTTTTTTCAAAATATTAGGGACCCGTCAAATTTTTGAGGGCCTTGAGCTACCCCTAAAAATATTTTTTGTTCAAAAAAATTTTAAACCTAGTGTTTTTGTATTAGATAAAACACATTTAGGGGGGTACCAGCAGGTTTTTCTCAAAAAAGTTGTTTTAAGCACCACCCTAATATATATATATATATATATATATATATATATATATATATATATATATATATATATATATATATATATATATTATATATATACAGTAGAATCCTGTTAACTCGGACTTTGAACGGGTATATATATTAAGTCTAACTTAATGAATGTCCGAGTTAGGCAAAGTTTTCGGTATGTATAGAGAATTCAAGGGGAATTGAAAATTTGTCCGACTTAGTAAAAGTCCAACTTATCCAGCGTCCAAGTTAACGAGATTCTATTGTATATATATATATATATATATATATATATATATATATATATATATATATATATATATATATATATATATATATATACATACATACATACATACATACATACATACATACATACATACATACATACATACATACATACATACATACATACATACATACATTGTAACTATAAAGTTTTTCTTACTTAATCAATCAAAGCGTTGAAGAAATAGTTTAGGCCCAATTTAAAAACAAATATTTACAATAATAAACCTTAAAAAAACTTATTTAATAACTTTTAACCTCATGCTAGTTGAAGTTTTTCTACAATTTATTACTTGTAAAATTCTAAATTCCAATTTAGGAAACCAGTTGCCTTGATTTAAACAAAATGGTGGTTTGACAAAACTGAATTTATTTTTAATAACAGTGCAGTCAATCAAAGCAAACTACAGTTAAAAGTATAGAAGGGTTGTCTGTTTATATTAACTATCAATTTATTAATTATTAATTGATCATTATATTTTATAGTCAAACCATCTTTAGTTTAAAAATATTTAATCTTTTGGTGTTCCAGCCCACCAATATTTTATTATGCAACTGTGTTTGACAAATATATTTTGGGATGATGAGGATCTAAGGTTATAGGAGTGGTTGGTTTAGGAGAAGAAAGGAAGTAAAAGCATTAGGGAGTCTAACATGCAAGTAATCCAATACTAACAAGGTACAATTCATAAGTTTGATGTTGTCATGTAGTTTTAAAACTTGTGATAAATTATTTTATCACAAGTTTTTAAATATGACAACATCAAATTTATGAATTAAATAAGCCATTAAAATTACCTAGAAAATGGGTAATTTTAATGGTTTTATTTTGAAGTAAAGAAATTTTTTTTAAGGATTAATTTTAAGTTCCAGCATAATTCCAAGATACCTTACTGATTTTAAAGAAGTTAATATCTCTCTATTAATATAAATTTTTTTTTTGCTTATTAATTTTTTTTAACAATTATTTTTTTGATTTCTTTGAAATTTTAAAGACTGCTATTTGGGTTTTTTTAGATTTTATTAGCTTCCAGACAGTTAAGAATTGATGATATAGCCTCATTGGTTTTATTTTGACATAGTCAACAGAGTCTTTAACTAAAAAATATTGATTTTTGTATGCAAACATTTACAATACATTTATTCATTAGTCAGTTATTGTGATTACTATGTTTGATTTACTCTATGCAGATATTAAATATATTAAAGTTAGCAAAAACATAAAAAACATTTTAATATTGCAGTGATCATACATGTCATTTTTAAAATCCGGAAAATAATTTGCAAAAACAATCCGTGAAAAACACAAAATTTGTAAATTTATATATTATATTTGTCTTAACTTAGCTTAATGTTAATGGCTTTTTGAAAATCTTTTTTTTTTATGGGTATAGACTGAAGAGTTCAAAAACAAATATATTACAAAAATATATTTTTTATATATTGTATTTATAATAAAAATTTTTGAAACTCTTGAAAAACTTAAAGTTAAAAAAAAATATCCAGAACTCAGGAAAAAAGATCCCTGCTATTGTTTATATTAAACATCAAAATGTAATTCAGTCCTTGATAAGTTCTTATAGGTTTTTGTAGTGAGAAAATTCATTTCTTGTAACAAAACTAAGATTGAACACTATGATAAAAACGTTATTACCTGATGTGAACTTGTTAACTATAATGCATTATGTGTGGTGCGAACAAATTACCAAGTGACGTGAAGAAATTATCAAAGTGTGCATAAGAATTATCAAAAGAATATTTGCAATAAACCATTTATCAATCTGAAACTCTTTAAAAACAATTTACAAGGAAAGTAAAAAGTTGGTTACATAGCGCCAATGTTTGTCACATTTACAAGGAATGCAATGATTTTAAAAAGGACAAGAGTAACAGAATAATTAAACAGTAATAATGATAGAGTTATAGAATGAAAGTGATAGAAAAGCAAAATGTAATTACTATTTTAAAAGTTGGGTTGTGTAACTTATAATTGCTTAAATAAAATATTTTACTAGTAAAGTAAGTAAAAATAAAATAAAATCTTGTGGTTCATTCTCAGACCCAATGTGAAAAAGCTAAAATTCTTTTAGGGAGGAAGGGGTTAGGTTAGGTGTATGTGCATAATTTGGATTTTGTAATATATGTTTTGCAATAAATAGTGTGACATTTATAAAATAAAAGCCTTTTTATAAAATATAAGCATTTTTTTTTACATTTTTAATTAAAGGGGGAGAGGCCTCGTGATTCCAGGGAAATGAGGAAGTAAAAAAGTCATTGATTTTCAATCCATATAAAAAACTTAAATGTTATTATAACAACTTTTGTTTCTTATAATGTAATTTATTTTATTTGTAACTAAACTAATATAGTATTTTCAATATGTGGAAAACAAAATTTGATGCAATGCAACAATTTTTGTACCCATCCTGGCAACCAAGGTAGTTGTAGCAGTCAATATTGTAATCCTGGCAACCAAGGAAGTTGTAGCAGTCAATATAGTAAACATATATTTCTACGCATATTGGAGTATTTTGTAGAGTTGGTACATAGCACCAATGTTTGTTATTACATTTAAAAAGATAAAGTTTTGTTTGTATGAAAAATAAAAATAAAAAGTGAAGTAAAAATGTAAATATGGTACAAAAAAAAACAAAACAAAAAACAATTTATTATTTAATAAAAAAATAAAAAATTGCATAAATGTATAGAAAAATATAAAATTTTACAAGCATAAATCTACCCTGATAATACTAAATGTTACAATATAGCAAACATTACTAATTACAACTTGCATTTAAAACTTTTAATAGCTTGAATATTACCTGTAAACCTTTTAAAAGCCCGAGATCCTGTAAGTTTTGCCAATTGGATACTGCCACCAACTGCATCTTCCAACTGTGAACATTGTTTAGCTGTACTACAATCCATCCAGACAGGAACTTCTAGTGGTTCAAAACATTCCTGAGTAAACAATTACTAAATATATTCAAAGATATGATTTTTTAATCCTACCTCCCCTAGCCCTTTTACAATTTCAAAATATAACTTTGTGACAATTGTGATGTATAAATAAAGTTTATTCATGACAGTTGCAGAGTAAAAATATAGCTTTGTGACATCAATTGTGATGTATAAATAAGGTTTATTGATGAAAGTTGTGGAGTAAAAATATAGTTTTGTGACATCAGTTGTGATCTATAAATAGGGTGACCGTTGTCCTGGTTTTTATGCAGGAGAGCGCAGTGCCAAACTAATTCAAATTAGTTTAGTTCTGCGCTCTCCTACATAAAAACCGGGACAACAGTCAACGTGTCTATAAATAAAGTTTATTGATGACAGTTGTGGAGCAAAATATAGCTTTGTGGCATCAGTTGTAATGTATAAATACAGCTTTAGGATGTCAGCAGTGGACTAATTAAATACTTACTGCGTTTTATTTTTTTAAAAAATTTTATTAGTCATTTTCTTAATAAGGGAAGATAATATTTTGTGTTAGGTACAGGCTGTTGTCTCTTACCTCTTTGTGACTAAAACACCTGAAGCTAATTGTTAGTTCTTAGGGATGGAGGAGCTCATAAATAAAAAAATAACAACAAAAAAACAGATTGTTAGAAAATCGTAACAAACAATCAGCAGTGATCAAATTCAAATTTTGTTTAGAACTTAGAATTAAATACCTTATTAATGATGATAGAGAAATAATAAAATGCAGAACTGGGCTACCAATAAACACCAATGTATAATATACAACTTGTTTTCAACATTGAGATGTTTATTTGAATCACTATGAAACCAAAGTAATATGATGCTGTAATCAATATATTACCCATAAAATGTTACTTTATGGCCAAAAATTATTTATAGCAGTAACAACTTTTATTTCATAAATTTGCATATTAGAAGTGATTAAAGTTAAAAATAATGAGATTATTCACAGATAAGTTCTAATTCGTCCATATTTTTAAATTTTTTTTTTAGCTAAGCTTTGAAAGTACAGAATAAGACATCAGGTTTCAAATTTAGATTCCTTTGTTAAAATTTTTATAGGTTAAAATTAAAAATGTTCATTTTACTTTATAGGCAGTCTTTGTGAAATCAACTTTAATACAGCAAAATCTTTAAGCAATAATGACAATTGTAGAATCAGTAAAAGCTGTCCGAAATTCAGATCAAATGAAAAATCAGAAGAGGACAAAATAAAACCAATAACTGAATATGTATGTGTGTGTGTGTATGTAAGAATATATAGCATAGAATATATAGCATAATTATATAGTATATAATGTATTATTTATTATATCTTACCTACTATTAAGTACCAGCTCTTTTCTACCACTAGAACTTTATTATTCAAAAAAAAGGCACTATAAAATCCACAATGACAGGCCTGGCAGGAAAAAAATATGTGAGAAGAGGGGGGGGGGGTTGAGTAAAATGACTTTACTTTTTTCACATATGGAATTATCTATTTAGACCTCAATAAAAAATATTTAACCTTAAAAAATTTCCAAATTTGTAATAAAATCATTCATTATTTATTTTAATTTTCTAAGCAAGACTTATTTTTTTTAAATTAGATGTTTTAAACAGCCAATGGCTACTAATAAAAAAAATCAACCTGCAACTGATCAACTAAGGTTTCATGTACATTTAGATTAGCTAAAGTAATTTCTGAGGATTTTTTCCAGAATACTGAGCCATGTTGCTGTGCAGATCCAGTGATCATTTCAATTTCTTTTAAGGACAACTCACTTTCTGCCAATTTCATCAAAATTATATCTAAAGCTTTAACCCACATGAGTACAGGTGAAGTAACTGTTTCTCCATCGATATGCCGATGTACACCATTTTGAGTATTAAACTCCTTTAATTCTGAATCAAACCTAAAAAAATATTTTTTAAATGATAAAAAAAACTTATTAATTAATTTTAGCATAATTAATTGAACAGGCGAAACAAAATACTTAATGGAATCTTTCCATACAATATCCAGCCTTTCATCGGCAACAATAACACTCAATGATTGAGTACTTAAATCTAAACCAAGATATTTTGCTACCATTTTGTTTATTGTTCTTTATTATTATTAAAAAAAAAAATCAAATGTTTTAATTAAATAATTCAAAAGAGCAAAATCCAGGAATTACAACATAGAAAGAATTTTAAAAAAAAAAATAAATAATTATGTAAATATATATATATATATATATAGGGGAGATCGGGGTTGGTTGTCACACTTTTTACATTTTAGGCTGCTCAGCTTTTAATTTTCATCCAATCAATGCCAAATTTTGCACAAAGCTAGTTTAACTATTTCCAGTAACTATTATAATATTTTTATGACATTGAGTGAAATATTTATTGCTGTAAAATCATTTTTCAAAGACCACTTCTGTGTGACAACTAGCCCCGCTCACAGGGTAGGTTGTCACATGGTGCGGGGTTGATTGTCACATTTGGATTTTGACAAGTTTAGATAAGAATTTAATGTAAAACAAGTACAAATTAATTTCGTTTATGTTTTACTAAGAAAAATAAAAATAAAATACTATAAACTGAAATACATATATTTTAAATATAACACAATTAACAAATTTAGTTTATCAATATAAATGTTTTTAAGTTTGGTTTTTTAAAAATTATTGGATAAAGAACACAATTCACAAATAAACTGTTGTAAGCCTGGCGTGCATTCTTCATGAGCCCATTTTTGGCAAACCTGACATTGAATCCACTGTTCTCTTGATCGGCTGTTGGAAAATGATTCAAAACAATAGATGCACAGATACTCTTCATCTTCAGATGAATTTAAGACTATAGAAGGTTTTTTCGTAGCAAGATTTGATTTTATTAATTCTTTTTTATTTCCATTAGTAAATTTTTTTTTATTAGTTTTCTTCTTTTTATAATTAGCAAGCCATGCTTTGACAGGCGTGTTAGTAAGAATCATAGTTGACCGCTTTTTCCTACCTCTTTTTGATGCTAACCTCGGGCCTGTTTTAGGCAGAGGCCTAATACTCTCAGGTGGTATGATTGAATTGTTAAAACCTAATGTTGTGATTGGGTTCTGATTAGAGGTTTTATTTGATACAACTGGATCTTCTATTGTTATGTCTACCTCATTATCTGGTATCTAAATAGATTCTTTAAATCTTTTATTTGATGGTTCCGGTTGCATTGAATAAGATTCAGTCTTTTTTATTTGAATAAAAAAGACTGAATCTTATTCAGTCTGTGAACAAGGTGGGTCAGGGCGATCAGTTACATAGTTAGGACAGTAATCATTTTCAGTAAACACATCAGGATTTAACGGGTAAATACCTGTTGCAGAAAAACCACTTAAAATATTGTGGGGAGATACAGCCTTTGGAAATGCAATGTTTACTATTTTTGGAATATCATATATTGTAAGAGTTTTTTCAGGATTCATTACTAACCAGCAGTATTTATGTAGTTTTTGAGAGGACCATAAACTGCCTTATCCAAGGGCTGCAACTTATGTGTGCAATGTGGTGGGAAGGTAAGCATTACTATTCCATTATTTTTTGCCAAATCTAATCCTTCAATACTAAGATGAGTTTCGTGATTGTCAAGCAACAATAAACAAGGCTTTTCTTTAGTACATTTTGTATTGCCTACAAAATGTTTTAGATATTTTACAAAGTTTTCTTCTTTCATCCAACCACTTGGATTTGCAACTCCTGCACTTCCTGTTGGTGCACTGATTAGGAAATGATCTTTAAATTTTTTACGAGAAAAAAAAAAAGGGTGGAATACTATTTTCAATAGCATTTATTGTGCATGCTAATGTTACAAGAGTTCCTCTTTCAGCTGACGTGATGGCTCCTACTTGTTTTAATCCTTTTTTCGCAATAACCTTTTTAGGTTGCTGTACAGTAGTTACAGCAGTTTCGTCCATGTTCCAAATGTCATTTGGTGAGAACGAGTATTTTTGCATACAGTGCTGCAAATTGCTAAAAAATGATGCAACATTCTGCTTATTGAAACTTGTCGCTCGACTTAAACTAGTAGCTTCAGGTTGCCTAATGGAAATATTTGAATGGCGCTT